CAATCTATACTCCGTGAAGTAAGTCTGATCTTTCCAAATGTTTGTCTATGAATATATGGTATTTTCCTTGTAGTGATCTTATTTACAACTAGAGATTTTTCAATGTATTCAGAATACTGGAACTTAGTGTTATAATATCTATACCGATGCAGGTTTATTGATGACAATAAAGGATTTGTGCTGGGGAATGATGGGGTCTTGCTTCGGTATCTTGGATAAGGGTTTAATCTACACATCTCTTGGGCATTCTTAAAATATGTTATCTCGTCGTTTAGAGTCGTTTTATTGACATGTGCATTTATGCAGGTCAATTTTGTAGTGGTGATGTAACACATATATGATCGATCACGTATCCAAAGCTGCCAAGAGGGGTCAATGCCTCATTCATTTGATATTGTAATTTTTCTGTAAATTATTACCATCCACGGACAGATCTTGGCAATATTTTTACACCTTCATAGTAAGAGAATTTGTATAAGCCGTTTCAAAGCCATCTATTTGTGTTTGGGATAAAATCTGAACTTTGGGCCAGAGAGAAAGTCGGCCCAAACCCAAGGCCCAGAGGAAAACTTAGGAGGCAGGAAAGAGGCTTTCGGCTGGGCACAAATTACAAAGGCCACCTGCTTACCTGCTCAAAGACCACAGGGGGTAGGTTATTCAATCACTGCACAGCCCAATAAAGTACTTTATTGGTGGCATTCATGTAAAAAAGCTAGTGAGTCATCACACCAAACCGCATTCGGGCAACCGCCATTGCTACAGGAACCCAAGCTGAATCCGTCTATAAAAGGAGGAAGAGAAGACAGAATTAAAGGACACTCAAAAAAAACAAACAAAAGCCAAAACTCTGCTCAAGCCAGATTTGCCTTCAACAAAGCTGTAGTCAGCACACAAGCCTTCATCCCGTTCGGGATAAACCTTCCCAAACCCCTGTAATAGCTCTGCTACCTTGTTCTTGGTGGTATCGATTCATTTTGTATCCTCTTCTCCCCATCAACCACTTCTGAAAGCTTTCAGACCTTTGATAGAGCCACAAAGATAGATTTTGTAAGAAGTTCAGCCGAAGATAAGGTTCAAACTTGCCCGACTATCTTTGCTCTGTGCTTTGTTCTTCTTCTCTTCTTTTAAGGTTAACAGCACATGTTATATTTATTCTCAGTTATATACAAGTTATTTCTGGCAAAGTCACAAATGAAAATGAGTCTTCAGCACTTGAATCCGATTCTGAATCACGTCAGAGTTTAGATCAGATCTGAGGCTTAAGCCCGCAGGCATGTAATTTAAAGATCAGTTTAAAAGTCCTTGGCCTCAAGGCATAAAAAAGAACTCTAATGTGGACTCAACCCATCCACGACGATCCTTGATAAGCGAGAAGTCCGAAGTTACTTGGGGCGCAAGTAATCAATCTATTTCTCCGTTTTGTTTACTATTATATCTTGATTCGTAGTAGAAAAGGCTTAAGCATAGAGTGAATTCTGATAGAAAGCCTCAAGGCCTACACCTAAGGCCCCACGAAGGCATCTATTTAGCTTCATTTTATGTTGCGGTCTAGTTGGTCCGAGTATAAGGATAAGGATTGGGAAGCCTCAGGCCTATACCTAAGGCCCTACAAAGGCACTCATTTGGGTTCGTCCTACCTCTGGGATTCAGATAGATAATCAAAGGTATAATAGTGATAAAACTCTGGCAACCATAAAAGGCCAAATATGATACATCCAAGCGCTGGTTTAGTTTGACAGGAAGCCTCAAGGCCTACACCTAAGGCCTCACAAAGGCACCTGTTATATCTAATTCGGTTTCTCTCGGGCGTAATACATATTCAATCAAAGCTTAAACACCCATTCAACATCTGCCATACTGAAGATGGCAGTGGCACGCCTGAGCACGATAAAGTTAATCTTGATTGTGTGAGCCTCAAGGCCTACACCTAAGGCCCCACAAAGGCACCCTTTCAAATTAACTCTGTCCTTCTCTTTCAGAACTGCCCGACGAGCCTTGCCCGAAGTGTGTCTTGCCCGACCAAGATCTGCCCGACGAAGGCCTTCCCGAGCAAGCCCGAGAAGAAAGCAGGAGTACGACAGATACCCTCAACCGACGCCATTCTCCCAGGGGAGCTGTGTGGCTCGACCGCCAGGAAATTCCTGCGACGAACACAATTTGGTTTCCTAGGCTGGACGAGAAAAGTCAATAGACAAACATTTTCGGCAACCAATTTTTTTATAAAATCCATGGGTAATGATCACTTATATATTTCATGCATTTTATACCATCCATTTTTAAAGTCTTTGTGATGTTTTAATGTTAAACTTGTGGCATTTTACCTTTGTTGTGTTAATGTGCAGTTAATTTTTTTGATTGATTAATCTCAAGCAAAATGGAGAGAATGGAATTGAAAATGGCTGCTTTTTGTTAAAGAGGGAGTGGGAGAACGAAGCAGAATAAGAAAGAGGGAGTGGAAGATGGAGAGAATAAGAAGAATAAAAAGAGGGACACAATGGAGAGGAAGAGGGAAAACAGGGAGAAAAAAGGAACGGAAAAAAATGGAGAAAGGAGGACAGTGCGGACGCAGCAAGAATAAAAATAAAATAATAAAAGAAGGATGAGGCAGACAGACGGATATGGAAGAATAAAAAAAAGGAGGAGTAGAAACTTAATGGAAATGGGGCGTCAGAGGCAGAAGAGAAGGAGTGCGCAAGAGGCGCAAAAGAAGAATAAGAAGAAATATAGAAAGAGGGACTGAAGGTGGGGAAAAGAGGAGGGCAGAGAGAGAGAAGGCGGATGCAGCACGGTCAGAGATAGTGAGGACTGACAGAGAAGAAAAGAGGGCAGTGCAAGCAGGTGGAATAAAAGAGGCAATGGGCAGAGGTGGATAAGAAGCGGGGGTGAAACGGGAGAGCAGAAAAGAATAGAGCACAGAGAGGCAGAGGTGCAGAAAAACAGGAGCAGGGGAAGGAGGACTCGGACTGGCGAGCAGCAGAAGGCAAGGCAGCAGGCAGAGGAAAGGAAAACAGGAGCAACGGAGAGCTCGTCTTGTTAAAACGGGTGTCTTCTTTCTTTGTTTTTCTTTATGGATAATTTCTTATGTATGAACATTATTATGTGTAACTAATTTATTATGCTAGAGTGAGGCCATGAGCCACAACATGAATACGTAGTTTATTTTTCAATTGCTTAAGTGTTGTTACATGCTTGCTTTGATATTTTCAATCACTGAATTAAACTATCTATGTACCTTGATGCTTGATCACCATTAGGATGCTTAGAAAAGTTATTAGATGCAATTTTGAACGAATGTCACGTTAAAATTGATTGTGCTTCTTGTGATTGAAAATTATACTCTCCTAAGGTAAATATCATGCTCTTAGGGATTATATGGTTTAACAAAAGGATTTTCACAAAGATTAATGAATCACTCATGTTTATATTTAATCCAAATGTCATGGATAAGTTGCATGTGGTGGTATGCGTTTTAGCTTGAATGTCACAAGTAAAACATACACAAGGAAAATCCAACCATCAAAGCATGTGTGTTTTCAATTATTTAAGCAATTGGAATAGCTACGTAGGAGTGTTGTTGGTAAAGGTTGAACTCTAGCATATTGTCAATCTATTTTTCTTCAATCATTTATTTTATCTTGAATTTCCTTATTTGCTTGTTTTGTTTTAGTTGAATCATTATTCCTATAAATCAATTCCTATTTTAGATATTTGTTTAATTCACATTCAGTAATATTTAGTTTCGTCAAATTAGTGTAATTCTTAGAGTTAAATAAGTTAAATACACAAAAACTCGTAAATTGTTTATATCAGTCCCTGAGGAGATCGACCTTGCTTGAGCCATTCTATACTACAAACACTTGTTCTCTTGCAAGAATTTTCTATGGTTTAACCCTTTGTTTTACAAGTGGTAAAATCGCTATCAGGTAACCATCTATTCAGTTACATAAATATTTTTCTATTGAAATTTGAAATTAAAAAAAAAAGGTCATTTTTTTGGTAAAATAACAATAATCTAAAACGGTTTTGTGTTGGGCAGAGCATTTTCGAAAGGTGCTGACGTGCATCATGAATATTGACTAAGAAGATTCTTAGGAAAACTAATGAAAAGGGCTTGAAAATTTTGAGTTTTAATGATAAGGACAAAATAAAGGGTAAAGTGAATAGTACCAGGATTGACTTTTTAGTGTAAAAATGTGGTTTTTCGTTAAAGTGAACAGTATCGGGTGCTTTTCGTTAAAGTTCCCTTTTAAAATATACATAATATCATTTTTTTTTTTTTAAATGACGAAGGTATACAAGGAAAACCTAGTGAAATAGCAAAGCAGCGAAAGAAAAACGTGACAAAATTGAAAGTGGATAAGTGAAAACATATTTTTCCCAATATCTTTGTAGTTGTACCTTTAATCTTGTTAAAAGAAACAGTGGTGCAGATGATAATTTTTCGTAAATCTATTCTGCTATATGGTTTCCTTCTGTTTTGGACAGGAGTGCAAAGAACAACGATTGATCTGGTCCCAATGTAAATTAGCAATGACAAGAGGCCTAAAAAGCAAACAAATAATTAGAAACTGCAGACGAAACGATAACCCCCTTTCATACGAAAGCTTCCCCAGTTGTCACTCTTCTGGTTTGGTATTGCTGTGCTTTGAAAAAAAGCTGCTATGAGAATAAGCGGCTGTGCTGTGAGAATAAGCGGCTGTGAAATAAATTAGCAGAGTGTTTGGTAAACTTTTTTGTAAAAGTGCTTTTGGAAAAAAAAGCAGTCTGATAGTGGGTCTTTTCATTAAAGGAGCACTGTAATTATGTGTGCTTTGAAAAAAAGCCAGTTTTCCAAAGCTACAAATTGCAGCTTCAGCTTTTTCCTTTGATTTCAGCTTATTCTCACAGCAGCTTCCAAAATAAGCCATTTTTTTTAAGTTTACCAAACACCAAAAACACTCCCAGCTTTTTTTCATAGGAGCTTTTTTTAAAATCACCTCAACCCCAAACTGGGGCTTATTATACTTGTAGCGGGAATTGGAAAACCTCACCAACCCACCGGACGCCGCTGCTCAGCAACACCAACTACCAACTACCAACTACCAAGGTCTCTCTCTCTCTCTCTGTGTTCAAGCATGTCAGCCCTCAAATTTTGTTTAATTTATTTTTAATAAAATGTCGTAATCTCTCAGACATGCATATTTGAGTGCGAGAGGAGCAATCAAAGCAGCAATGATACTCTGTTTATCCAGTCTTTCAGCTCCAACCCCTCACCTTTTATTGAATGAATTTTCTCACTCTTTTAAGAGTCCCCAGCTTCCTCCTCTGGTACGTAATTATTGTGTTCTTTGCTATATTTTTTTTATGTAATTTGATGTAATTTCCTGTGTGTTTATTTTCTCTTGCAAGTTGTAATGTATTCATATATTCGGTTGCGCTATGATATGTGATTTGTTCAGCAGAAAAGACAGCCCGATGGGTCTCCAAGAGCTTCTAGAGTTGTTGCTTACTACGGATTGAAGAAACCTCCGTATAAACTTGTAAGTCAACTACTTTCTCATCTTGCTAAACCAATTTTCGGGACGCGAAATGGGGTTGGCGAAGTCAGCTTCTAGTCTCACATTAGGTGCATGAAGAATAGAAGTTTTTCGGGTTCCTATTTGCCCTTCTTTGTCAATGTCTTGTAACCTGATTCGATTTGGAAGATACTTTAGTATGTCATTGTTTGGTTTCTCAAGTCCGTGTGGTGTAGCATTTGATTCTATGAAAGCCCTCACTTGTGGCAGTTATCCATCTCGCGGTGTCAATCTTTTTGGGTACAGATTAGTATTCGGTGTCGAGTTGCTTATTCTTGTCACATGATGATACACATTCATGTAATTATATTATACGTACGATTGGCGTATGATCTTCCTTGACTGAACTGTAATGTTTCTATTTTCAGGATGCTTTGGAGCCGTATATGAGTCAGAGAACATTGGACGTCATTGGGGAGGCCATCATCAAAACTATGTGGAAGGTCTGAACAAACAGCTAGAGAAGAGTGACATACTATATGGCTGCACTTTCGATGAACTTGTCAAAGCAACATATAATAATGGGAATCCTTTACCTGAATTTAAGAACGCTGCTCAGGTATCTACAAAATCGTTAGCTAATTTGTATACTTTTCTTGACTGGATCATTTTTAAATGCTATCAACGAGCTTGCATAGGGGTCACTGATCAAAGATATGAAACGTTTGGCCACAGGTTTTTACATGCTTGACTATCTTAGGTTCAAATGTATTACCACCGGACAGTATATGATATGATCCTGTAGCCTGAAGCAGAACTGTGGCTTAAGCTTGTTCAAATTTTTAGTTTTCCTGATTGGTTATTCCTAAAGGTTTAGTGCAGTGTCATACTGGTTTAAGACTGGGAATCACAAACTTGAAGTCCGGTTTTGGACTTAACATGAAATAATGTTTCAAACAGGAGACATGTTGCGTAAAGGGATATGCAACAAGGAGACTTTGTTCCATGTCTAATTTGGGGATTATGAGACGAGATCCTTTGACTTTATTGTTGTAGGTCTGGAATCATGACTTCTTTTGGGAGTCCATGCAACCGGGAGGAGGAGACATGCCCCAACTGGGTGTCCTTCAGCAGATAGAAAAGGATTTTGGTTCGTTTACTAATTTCAGAGAGAAGTTTACAGAAGCAGCACTTACACTATTTGGGTCTGGCTGGGTTTGGCTTGTTTGTAAGTCCTTCCTCATGTTAATTTCTGAACCTGTGTGAGTTAATGTGTTTGGGATTTTGAATAATGAATTTTTCTCATATTCATTGATTGGGTAATCTCAAACTTACTGTTACATTAATTTTTTTTGGAGTTCACCAGCACTAAGTTTCTGTACTAATTGTGACCTTGTTTTGCTAAATTAACTCCTCTGGTTACCGATAATTTTTATTGTTTCATTTTCTCAGTAAAGAGAGAAGAGAGACGACTTCAGATAATTAAAACTTCAAATGCCATTTGCCCAATTGTTTGGGGTGACGTAGTAAGTAAAATCAATTTTCCCAATTTTGTTGTGACATCTATTTCAGCAGTTTCATTAATCATCTCTTATTCTGCAGCCTATAATCAGTTTGGATCTGTGGGAGGTGCGTAAATGATCTCTCGCGCTACTCTTTTTCCTACCCTCCCTAACTCTCTCTTGTGGGAACATGCTAATATTTTCTCTTTTTGCTTTCTTTCTTGCAGCATGCTTATTATCTGGATTACAAGGTATGCACTGGTTTCAAACTTCATTTAGTTTTCCTCTGGCTGGCCCTAATTTTTAATGTCTTTGGGTAACTTGTTAACAGAATGACAGAGGAAAGTACGTGGATGCGTTTATGAACCATCTTGTGTCTTGGAATGCGGCAATGGCACGCATGGCTCGAGCTGAGGCCTTTGTGAATTTAAACGAACCTAACATCCCTGTGGCTTAGAAGGCTTGTAACACCGGCAAGATACTGAGACTAACTATTATGAAGAGGCTTCCTAATGAGTTTATTGGGAGTCCAGCGGGGGTTGAGCTGCATTAGGATCATATCTTCCATAAAAAGGTGTAATGCCGGTTTTTTCCCATTGGTGTCACATCTACAACGATTTTGGTACGAGATATGCAACCACCTTAGAGAGTAACAGTAGATTAGATAAAGCGTATGAACACGCTTATGTTGCGTTCTGTAATAGAACATAACAAGTGTTTCTGTTTTGATTAACGTAGATTTCCTCTCTATTAGCTCTCTTATTACGTTATGTAACGCATGGTTTTTACTTTTTATTCTCTATATACTCATCAGTTTAAGCAGCCAGAAGAAATGACCTGACTGATGGTTCATGAGGCGATGATAAACCAATGTTAGGGACACGAGATGATGAGGTTCGCTGGCTTAAGTCGTTTTATTGTATCACATTAGTTACATGAAGGTGAAGCACGTCAAAAATCAATCGTCCGTCATATGGACTCTGAAAATACAGAAGCGATGTTCATGTCGTTATCTTGTGTCTCCACATTCGTCATGATATGCGAAGAATTTTTATGGTTAGTGTCGAGAATGATAGTGTTGTTACAAATATGTAAAAGTTAAGGAGATAACTTTTACTAATGATAGGAGCGATGCAGGTGTAAAATATCATATTGAAACTATAGCACAAGAGGATGACAAATAAAAGAGGGAGGAATAGATACTGAAGTTATAAATCTTTCCTCCCTTCTCAATATTTCTCACTGTCCTTTAACAGCAGTCAGAGCGCTCTATTTATAGAGCAACTCCGTATTATTACAGTTTGAAATTTACAATACATCTTTTGAAAAACGATCTCCGTTATTTCCAAAGTCCACATCTCAACACAGCCAATGTTTTCATTAATCTGCTAATGTTGAAAATCCAATCTGTGTGGGTATTAAAAGATCTACCAAGGTTTTCAATATCACTGTGGGCATTCACTAACCCACCAACATTTTCAACAAGTGTGGACTTGAAACTAAGCAGTTATATATATATATATATATATATATATATATATATATATATATATATATGTTTCTCTTGTTGACTTGTTACTTAGGCTGAGTAGAGGTTGGCAGACAATAAATTATGAACAAATTCGGAATTAGGTAGCGTCAATGAAATTGGAGTTAGGTTGCCGGCAACGGGAACTAAATGATGAGAGCAATTAGCGCCATTGTCTACGTAGATGGACCGGTAATAGCAGACTAGAAGCAGGGTTAGGCAGTTATACATCATCCTTTCATGTCGTCCTGAATGCAACTTTGGACAACCATCAGTGCTACAAATTTGATAAAAAAGCATTAGGCTTTGACTTTGCGGAAAAAATTAGGCAAACCTTTTTACCTGTGCAAAATGTTTGACCTGAAAGCAACTAACATAGATCGACACGTTACATAGAGATAAACTCGTTTCATGTAACTTATTTTTAGCATTATGATGCAAAAACATGGTCTAACCATCTTCTCCATTTTGACGTTCTGAAAGAAAATGATGAGAATAAGGCTGCAGTATTCCTTGATTTACGTCGGCTCAATGAAATGAAAGGTCAAAAAAGAAACACAGTGCCCATTTGAATAAATAAACTTTAACGAAAAATTCCCTGTACTATTTATTTTAACGAAAAATCATATTTTTACACTAAAAAGTCAATTCTTATACTATTTACTTTATCTTTTATTTTACCTTTATGGTTAAAACTCAAAGTTTTTAAACTTTTTTCATTAGTTTTTCTTTTAAATAATTAAGCTGGGTTTGGACTAAAATTGAATTTAATTATTACTTTTCATTTATTAAATTTTCTGATATTATAACTACCGCTTTCCGATGTCAGGTAAAAAACATGGCATAACAAAAACAGAAAAATGGAATTAGGAGGGAGTCTCTCTGCCAGTTGTAACGGAAATTGGGTTAAAACCAAAACAAAATTCCCATTTACAAATTTAGGAGACAAATTAAGAAGTATAAATAACATCCAAAATATCTATACTATTATTAAGAGAACCCTCCTTGTCAACTTTTTACCACTTTTTTTCTATTTTGCCCTCACTTTTGCTACATAATACTTACATTAAGGAGGGTAAAATAGTAATTTTGTATCTTTTTCCCCTTTTTGCTTCCTATTTTGCCCTCATTTTGATACACAAACACAATACATACATAAGGAGGGCAAAATAGTAATCTTGTATCTTTTGATAAAATGATAATCATATCCCTATTTTTCCTATTTTACCCTCACTTTTGATATTATAATGATTATCTAATATTAAGATAAAATATGCACTTATTAAGAGAAATTGTCCCACCATCGTTTTTATACTCTTTTTAAAATGGATAGTATTATTGACACTCCAAAAATTTCATTCTATACTCCTCACAAGTATATTTTTCTTTTCTAAAATATAAAATTTAAAGTATAGACTGAAATTCTTGGAGTACTAATTACATTTCCTTTTAAAAATTTAAATTATTAATGAAAAAATAATAATTATAGCCTGGTTGTGGGGTGACGTCATCCTGAATCCCTGATCCTTAATCTTTAAATTTTTGAGAGAGAGAGAGAGAGAGAGAGAGAGAGAGAGAAAGCGGAGGGAGGGAGAGAGAAGGTAAAAACGGAAAGAAGAAAAGAGGGACTCAAAATTTCAGAGAAGAAGGGAGGAGGAGGAGGAGGGGGCAGAAAAACGTTTCATATCATCATATACATTCGAGATTCAATTTCTGTAACCAACGAGGCATTGAAGAAATCGCACGCTGCGTTTGGAAGACACATTCGAATTCATCAGGTTGATTCGATTGGTGTTGAATCAATCAAATTCCAATCAATTACATCTCTCGTCAGCGTTGGGGTTCCGGTTATCTTCGCGAATCGAACGATGTCGATCGCTCTCAGATTCGTACATGTAATTGGAATGGAGAGGGATGAGATATGATCTGGAGGGAATCGGATTGTGAAAGTGAAAGTGAAAGTGAATGGGGGAAGAAGGTATGCTGATGGAAAGCGAGTTTTGTTCTAGTTATGCGGATCAGGTGATTTCGTCCTCTTTGCATAACCGATCCAATAACTCCAACAGCAATCCAATGTCGGCTTCTTCTTCTTCTTCGTCTTCCCCTTTTCTCCCTGTTTCGTCGCCGCCGCGGTCTACCTCTCCCGCTTTGGTAGGTGGCGGAGGCGGTGGAGCAGGGTATCTAGAACACGTCGTTTCCAAATTCGACACGCTTGCTGGCGTCGCCATCAAATACGGCGTTGAGGTACCACCATTTCCATTTCCTCATCTTCGCTTTTGATTTTTCGCATTTCTCCAAAATACATGTTACTTTTGGACTTCGTCTGCTTCAATTACTGTTTTGAATTTCTTGTTTTTTCTGTGTCACTTTTTGTTGGTTAATCAAATATTTGCTGGATTCTGAGAAACGTTTGAGGCTCATAGCTGACGTAGTCAATGGAAAATTGGTAATGCGAATAATTGTTTGAGTTTTAATGTTCATTTTGCTTCCAAAAGGGCATTGTGTTTTCAGATATATTGGAAATGTGTGTGTTTGTTTCCCAGCCTAATATCAGGCTGATTTTTGTTCGTTGGCTTGTTCGATTATGGAGCTTTTTGTCGAAAATAATCAGTGTTTTGGTGATATTGTAGGTGGCCGACATCAAAAAGATGAACGGCCTCGTTACAGATCGCCAAATGTTTGGCCTCCGGTTTCTTCAGATTCCACTACCGGGGAGGCATCCTCCATCCCCATGTTTATCAGATGGTTCCAAGACTCCAGGGTAATTATACGTCCCTACTCTTAATTTGTTTGGTTATGGGACTTTTGTTCCGCAAACTTGTTTACGGTAGCTGCAGATATCATTATGTCAAAGTTGTATCCCTAAACATAATACACCTCTAGTGCTTCCCAGGAAAGGAAGTGAAGCATAAGGTCGGTTCAGGGAGCAGTGTGATCTGCCCCTGTTGTTAGGAAATGCGCTTCTGAATCAGATTCTCGTATTAATCTGCACCTATTGTGTCACATTCCAGATGTTGCTTTTTTCTTGAATGGGGGCAGCCTCGATCGCAAAGTTTTATCATTTTTGGGAATGTATTTTTAGGTGATTGTGGTCTAAATGCAATGTTCTTTGTAGATAACATGTCAAGAAGATGTATATATATACGAGTCAACTTTATCTTGGTGAAATTGAACAACTAAAGTTTGTAGGTTCTCTTTAGTCTTTAAATATTGCTTAAGATTCGAGTCATTGAATGATTCGTACCGTGTTTTGCTTGTGGTTCATTTGTGGCTTACCATGTTAACACTTGCTTATGCAGCCAGACCAGTTCTGACCAGAACCCAACTCGCAGCATACAGTATGATCTGGTTGACTCATTCTGGTCCCTTAGAGTTACTCCTCCGAAGAAACCCTCCCCGGCTATGAACTCATTACAAAGTTATTACGGGCTGAAACCAAGAAATCAGAACTCTATAACTGAAGGTTTTGAAATGGCAGTCTACAAAAATGGAGGTGCCCATTATTTAGAAGAGGGACGATTCCTTGGAGCCTCACCAGCTTCTGACCAACCATTGAGACAATATCGAAAGTCAAGGAGCCTAGTTAAGTTGGATGAGAATGGTGAACTTTGTGATTCCATGTCTGCAGAAGGTGACTCTGAACCATTGGGGGATAAATGGATTAGAAGGCGTCAGAAATCTGAAGCAGACTTCTCTCGCACCCCTGAGAAGCTTTTGGGAGGTAACAGCGGCAGTGCCAGCAGTGCCGGGTTTTCAGCAATTTCAGGGCAGCGCTTAGCCCTTAGACCCACAGCAGCTAATAGAACTGCCTTAGGAAATGATGTTGAAGCTGGTGGCTTGAATCCTATACCAGTAGGTATGGGTGATTCTCTTATAGCAGATGGGTTATTTGGAGTGAGGAAGTCATCAAGCACGTCAAATTTGCAGGATCACGAGAGTAGCGGTTCTGCATCCATCTGGTCAACATCTAAGTGGAGTTTGAAGCCAGACTTGCAAGCCTTTTCAACCGCAGGAATTGCGAAACCAATATACGATGGTTTGCCTAAACCGATAACAGGTCGAAGAAAAACTGCACTTGACTAATTCACTTGATTATACTATCATTGCCAATTTGATCCATATTTTTCGCATCATCCGTCATTCATTATCAGCAAGCATTCAACTGGTAAGTACAAAGAAACAAGAAATCGGGACAAGAGTTGAATAACACTCAAAATCCTTAATCATTGAGGTACCAGGATACCGGCCCAAGCCGGCGGATGAACGATTGAGCGAAGCAACCGATTTTATATGCAGATTGAAGAATACAAAACTAGATAATTTGTTAGACAAACTTAAGAGGATGTAGATTTCTAGTCATTCCTTAGGTTTCTGGAACAATTTGTTTATACATTGATTATACTTTCTAATTCTTTTGCTTCTTTATTTAATTATCTCCATTTTGTTTTTGCTTTTGTTTTCTGATGGGTTACGATTACGATGATGTCTAATCTCGTGTCAGCAGTTATTTAATCTAACACCATCCTTCATATCAAATACGTTTTCAAGATAATTTTAAATTAATCAATTGTCATCATATAAAGTGAACACGTTTGAAGTGAATATCATCAGTCTTCATTTTTCGAAACGTTCAAATTGGTAAGCGACCTCGTGTCATGTTCGCACAACAAAGACAAGGGTCATATTCACTGTATATATAGAAAGATGATATAAAAATAGTCCAGCGGGCCAGTTCTAGGATGATCTGGAAAAAAATATCATCATACATCATCATGTACAATGCAAGGAATGAACACAGTCGTCAGCCTCGGCAGTGTTCCCAAAACAAACACCACAATCATCGGCCTCGACACCGAGTGTTCCCAACACTCCTGTTAAAACCACCCTTCTTTGCTCCGTCTTAACAATTGGTGGCAAAGTTTAGTTTAGTCAGGGTTACTTGAAGCTGAGCCTTCTGCAAAGAGAATGCTCGACCATTTGCAGTTTATTTAAACTATCTATTCGTTTTGGACAAGAGTATACGAACAAGGAAAACCATCGACAACAGAAAAATAAAACTTAATGAAATACGAGTTAAGCATACGAACGAGCTCGAAACACATGGACAACAACCCTTCCAAAAGACAGTTGCAATGTTTGGGAGTGACAGAGAACACTAATTTGCTTGCACCTAAAGACTTACAAGACTGATTTAACATATCTAGCTTAAAACATGACCTCAAGTCCAATGAAGAGTCGGCTCCAACTGCCAGTGGAAATAAAGATTTTAAACAATAAAAGTTGGCGACAAACAACTGAAAAAACAGATTGCTGCAATTTTTTTTTTTTTTTTTTTTTTGTGGGGGGTGGTTTTCAGCCAATCTCGGGCGAATGATCAAATAACAAACAAAAAAACATTCAAACCAAATCCAAAATAAATCAAAAGTGCACCACAAAATGACGAGAAAAAGACTTGAGCAATAATAAAGAACAATGGACTAGTCAGAGAACCGCTTTTCATTTTGTGATGCTCAGTGTAAACGGTACAGCAACAACAGAACATAATCAAACTCAAAACTATGCACAAAAAAACAAAAAAAAACAAAAAAATAAAAACCTAGGATCTTTACAGATTGAAAGAACTATCAGTGGGTACAAAGCAATGTATAAAAACTGAGGAATAAAACTTTTTAACAGTTGTGAGGCATCTGTACGAACTACCTTTCTTTACATTGCAACATATACTGTTGCATCAAAACTGTACTCAACTAACAAATAATTATGATGAGCCTTTTCTTGGTCCAAAATCCATGTATTTACCTGAATGTTTTACAGCAGTGCACATGCTACGAAGTCAGATTCCTTTTCCTCTGCGAGTGACCAGATAGAAACCACCCCAAAAACGTGGTTGCTACTGTTTTAATCTTCGCCGAAACCTGTGACAGAATGCATAGTTATGATGTCATTCCAAACTAAATCCCCATCAGAAACAAATTTCAAAGGGAAAAGTAAAAGCTCCACAAGACAGTCAGTCTCACATAAAAAAGATCTTGCAACACTCAACCAGAGTGAAATGATTGGAAAGGCTAGAGTTAACAGGTTCTTAGAACTAAACATTCCAAAATAAATACAAACATGCATGGCCCTCACATAGCTCTCACTTTTATTGAGACAAAAAAAAAAAAAAAAAAAAACATAAAGGAGCTAGGAAATCGAAACAAAGGAGAATTCTTCATGTGCAAATATCTAGGAAAACATTCTAAACACTACCATAGCAGCTGATTTGGCACAAGATGTGTTAACAAGCAACTCCGACACTGTACTGAATGCACAAAGTGAGCCACACATATAATACCACTCATTACCCAATTAACTTTTTGTTTTGATAAGTGGCAGGTTATCGACATGTAGCAACAGCAATTGTAAAATAAATATGCAAAACATGTATCAGACAGCACACGCTAAAATAAACAATGATATCTCTTGCCATTTGAATGAACCAGAAGATGTAGAGTGAAAGATGAAACTGAGATGTGCCTCTACCACAATGAGTCAGATAAAACTTATAGGGTCCCTAAGCTGATCTTTCACTTTCAACAGAAGAATTCACAAAAATATCCATATATGTATATATATAACTCAAATTCTGGTAAGTTCAGCTTTACAGTCAAGGTTGCAGAGATGATACTTGGTTCTACACGCTGAAGCTCGCAATAACATATAATAGTGAAAAGTATAGTCCCACATTCAATATGTGACAGATGATAATGGCTGGTTGATTGTAATACTGGACTCTCCAATCGTCTAGCAACACTCCTTTAACAGTAGAAATTGTAATTTTCATCAAAGTTTCACAGGCTAATTCAACCTAAAATGTTTCACTTATCACAAAAGGGCTATCATTTACAATTGACAAAAAACATGTGACTTATGATTCAAAAAGAAGAATGCACAACCCAAATATACATTCTTAGAGGGATTCCAAGTGCACTGTCGGGATCGTGAAAGACGTTGGTAATATCTTAGGAACAAACCAGATAATAACCATGCATGCTCTTTGCATGTCACCCAAAAGAGTGCTTTAAAGTCTTTCAAAATATACCAATAAATTGGTCACCTCTCACCTTGACCAAAACTTAAAATAATAGAGAGAACGTGTAAACCGAAAAGGCAACAGATTAAAGTGATTCTATCGAGAAAAAGGAAAATTTCTCTATGATGCATGAACTCGACAACAATAAGTTTCTCTTGGGTATTGAATGACATCCCAAAATGTGATTACTGCAATTCCAACAAAAAACTAAGCTTTTAAGAGAGCACTTAACCCTCAGCATATGCCAAAACGTAGCAACATACAAAATTAAGGCAAACCACACTCAATCTCACCTAACTTGGAGATACCAGGACGCACCCAAGAGGGGGAGGACAAATATCTTTGACTGTTTAATAGATGCAAGCACAATCAAGGACATGTTCATCCGAGTGGAGCAAGGAACACAAATTGAACCGACTGGGAGGACAATGCGTTTTACGATGCAACCAAGATAATAACAAAATAAATTCATCAAAGATTAAAAGTCGGTGCATTGAATTGATTTCTATCTATTCTGATATCGGGTATAATTACATCATTTAAAAACTTAAGAAACAAGTGTACTAACCAAGAAAGAAACATGGGCATAAACTTGGAAGCAAATGTTCTCGGGATATATTTGTCAGGAAAAATTACAATATACAGAGTCCTGCCAAGAGCCTCCACATGTCCTCAACACTGACTTCAAGTGGTACTTGGGTTTCTTAAACAAGATGAATCCAACTTTGAAGGACACCATAATGTGATGTAACTAATTGATATGCCGCCGTCAATTCTGAAACAAATTGCAGAAAATAAACGGATTTATCACCCAGTGAGAGAGAGAGAGAATTATCAATCTAAGCCATCATGGAAACAGTTTGAATAATGCTTAAATGGTAGTTCAAAATGCAGCACACAAATTTGCAGAAATAGAGTCGAGGATGAAGAATCTCATGAAATCTTTGAGATGATTCTGATTACAGGATCGTGGACTCAATTCTCAAAAAATAAATAGCACAAGAGGTCTCCGTCGATTTAAATTAACAGAGGTTTCAATGAGGAATGAATCGACTAAAGTGTTGTAGGATTAAGCAATTCAGAGAAGTGCATGAGCTACAAAAAACTTAAATACTGAACAACAAAGAAAAATAACTTACAAGAATAGTTATGTAGGGCTAAGGTTCACTACTAAGCTGGTCTCCAACAATTAACAGCAGGTATGTCTGGTCTACATGGCAAGATCTGGGAAGCACCATGACCTGGAAAAGTGCAGACAGAAAATCATTTTATCACTGCAACAATGACCCAGTGTTTTCAACATGCAAGCACACTTCAAAACAAGTTTACGTAAGATCACCTGATATTGGAGCTCCAGTTGGAACATTATTGGGGGCAGAACGCTGAAAAGCCATATTATTAGGTTGCGGCCTATCAGGTGGTGGCCGAAAATAACCTATCATAGCAGAACCAAACATAAGTAGAGATGCCTAGGGTAGTGCAAATTAGGCATAGGACACATTGGCCATCGCAACTAAAACATTAGATAAAAACACTAATAAACTATTAGTACAACTGAGCGTCCATGATATGATTTTCTAGCCTCAAAGAGAAAATGAGTTTAAATAATAATACGGGCAGAAATTCCAGTTCCTTGAGTGCTACTATATTCCCATTATATGGTAGGTGCGAAAATGGGATGGGTGCATTGAAATAACAACATTATACACTATTGCAGGCAACTGCTTAATGGATAGCTTGGCCACCAGGACCAGAACCCTATACCTTCATGGCCAAATGGTGGTCCCGGATGTGGGGGTCTTCCTCCATTAATCCAAACGCCTCGTTGTTCATCAGCAACGAATCGTCTTTGACTATCAGGTGGGGGAGGCAAAGAGTATGGACCGTGGTATGGTTGTTGAGGATGTTGATGAGGATGTTGCTTAGTATAGGAGAAATGACTTGAGGGATTTTGTGGTGGAGCAGGAGGTAAAGGCCTTTGAGGAAAAGGTGTAATAACTTGTTGAAATTGTTGGCTTGCTTGAGAGACTTGTGCACTTAGAAACATGTCATTATGCCCATGTTCTAGCGGCCTTGTCGAATTAAATCCAGAAGGTTCTCGAGGACCACATACTCCTGCAGGAACAAAGCAAGCTTGCTGCTGCGGAAACATCTCGCTCTTGGCAGTCGCATCAATAGGGCCAACATGAGAAGCATTTCCAGCAATTTGGACATGCTGGTTACCCTGTATGGAGAAATAATGTCATGATATATACAACAATAACAATGTAGCACTGATAAAGGTGGGGAAAGCAAGAATTCTTACACTCGTGCTGCAGTATTCATGAGGCGTAGGAGGTTGATATGCCACCTGCGGTGAAGGATGCATTGATGATTGCAGAGGCAGCATCTGTTGGGATAACAAAGAAGCCTGAGTTGGTATAGATGACTGAGGAATCAATAATGGTTGATGACCAGAAGATGGTAGGGGAGGAGGTGGCTGTGATGGTAGAGGCGGGGGTGGTGGTGGTGGTGGTGAAGGAGATAACGGAAGTGGAGGTGGTGGTGGTGGGGGTGAGGGAGGCAAAGGTGGGGTTGCAGGAGGAGAATCAAGAGGCAATGGTGGAGAACCGTCTGGAACAGGGGGCAAATCAGTGCAAGCAATTGAAGCTGGTTCCATGACCCTATCTGATCCCTGCTGTTGTGGATCCAATTCAAAAGAACCATTACCAAACAAGGGTCTTTCATCCTTTGGGTGTCCAGACACATCCTCCATTTCAAGTTCACCATCTACATCCTCCAAGATACAGTGTCGCCTATCATTAGGTGTCACCGCACATGTTTCTGGCCTATCGTTAGGCGTCACCGCACATGTTTCTGACTCCCCAGAAGCATGAGTAGTTTCCATTGGTGAGGAATGGCTAGTCTCCTTATATGAACAGCTAGGAAGTTCTTCTTCTTCTTCATCATCTTCAAATGCATGAGAGGACAAAAATCCAGGCAGCTGAAATGTAGCATTACTGACAAAGAGGCAAAAAACAACTACACAAATTAGATTCCAGTAAGTGCATGCAACAACACAGACGTAAAAATAATAGAAGCATTTTCATAACAACAGATCTTTAAGTACAATTTCACATAACTTGACCCAGTAATCAAACAAGATCATTGCAAGTTGCAACAAGTGTTCCACTAAAACAAACACTTGTTCATCGAGCAAACCAGATACTCCTTATTTATTTTCTCCTCTGGACAGTACTATCATGCAATTTTCATTTGGGGAATACTTCATGGAAAAACAATAAATGTAATTTCAAAACACGACCAAACAAGAATTATAATAATATATTTTACGAAGAAAAGAAATCATTGATTTTCCATGCAGTAACATTTGAATTCCTTCAACTGCATCTAATAAATAAATAATTAAACAAAAATTCCTTGAATTGCATGTGCATAAAATATGGGAAAGATACATTCATCACATCCCTTGCATGGTCATGTCTAAGTATAATGGTTTTCCAAATTAAACATGACATTGAGATTGGATTTGAGTTCCATAACCACATGTAAGTTACTTCAAGCAACAATAACAAACAGAATCTTATAGTCATGTCTGGACCAAAAAAATCAGCTTAATAGAACAAAAGAAGAATAAGGTACAACTATAACAATTCAAGTAAAATGTTAATATCAAATACCTGCCATACTCATCCACAAACATTCCTTCCATTTCTCTGATTGGGTCATCTATAGCACGCTCAGCTCGAGATGGACGTCTAAAGGAGAAACCAGCAATTGTATCATCGTTTGAAACTCCAATGTCATCCATGTAACGACGAAGAACAGACTCAGGAAAGATTTTTCTCTCAATCCACAGCCGTAAAACCTGGAAGAGAAGTATGTTCCGCTTTATCTCGTATACAAGAAAAACTCATCAAATTATATAGCAATGCACTAACCTTAAGACATTGACGACGATTATCACGAGCACCAGAACCAGGTGGAGCAGCAGCACCTAGAAGACGTGGCAATGCTGCTTGAACCGTTGGAACATATGAAGCTCCCGCAATGCCTGAATATCAATAAATAAATAGCTACCTTTAATATTTTCACAATGAACTACCATATCAGGCATGCACACAAGTCACAATCCAGCAATCGAGAGAGAGAGAGAGAGAGAGAGAGAGAGAGAGAGAGAGAGAGAGAGAGAGAGATTATTACATTTTCTTTCAAGTGCATGTACCTTTTTGATTATGCGAGATTTGTGTGATGGAATCCACAAGAAAGAAAAGATCGACCTTTCGATGGAAACTAGGCTCACTCTCCAACTTCCGGATTAGTAGTTCCACAACCTGCATCAACATTTTAAATTGTAACTAAAATAGTCTACAAATCCACATCATGGTTATACGCTATAATAATCTTCGATTTTGTGTGATATAAAGCAAAACTCCAAAAACATTTATTTATTGGTCGGCATGAGCAATTTTAAATAATCACCCAACTTCATTTGCAAACTTCACACACATTACAAAATCTAGATTCGCAACCCAAAGGAAGCTGCTATTTGAAGCTTTCTTTTTCTCAAACGTAAGATATAATTGTAGAACAGGAAGGACAACTGTTAATTGGTTATGGTAGGTGTGGACAAGGGATTTAAAACTCAAACGCACCTGAGTAATGGCTCTGGGTGAAATGAAAACTTACAAAGTTTACAAGATTTAAAACCCAAACTAGAAAGATTTTTTCACTCGGCCTAACTCTCACCCATCTGATCTTTCAACTTTTATGGTCTTAAAACATTTGCAGACTCAAGATGAATGGTTGTTAGTATAGAAAATCAACATTTTCACCACAGGACTATTTTTTAGCTTATTTTTTTGAATGGTTGTTAGTATAGAAAATCAACATTTTCACTACAGGACTATTTTTTAGCTTATTTTTTTAGGGATGTGATATCCTCACACCCCTTTTTACTTCTCCCACACCTTTTTGGTTTTCGGCCGTCGGATTGGATGAATTGAAGAAGATCAACGAACAGAAATTAAAAAGGGGTGTGTGAGAAGTAAAAAAGGGTGTGTGGATAGCACACCCCTTTTATTAACATATAAATGTACACTAACAGTCTGACACATGTAATGAACATATATTACAAATTATAAACATGACATCCACCAAACATAAGGAAATGCTTTCAAATTAATATAAGGTATTGAAAAACTCATAAAGTGATGAATGAAATATAAAGGAAAATATTGTATCAATGAAATTGTAACCATCTTTGAAAAGAATAAAACGAATAAAAGCTAAAAGAAACGAGAACGAGCAAAGAGCCTACCTCATTGGCAATACCATACTTGGCACAATCAATGGCAAGACGAGTTGCACGACTAATACTTTCTTTAGTCCTAGACAAAGTCTCTATCATTCCCTCAAAAGCATCACGAGCAACAGCTGCCTCGGTACCACCACTAAGTGATCCTCCAGCAGTTCGATGCCCAGAACTAACTCTTCTTTCCGAGATTTCCTCCAAATCAAGTTGAATTTGTGATACACAATGTCGACCATGAGTAACCGGGGAAGCTACATTTGTGAGTTGGTTGGACCCCGGGATATCTGCCTGCAATGCAGTGCTAGAAATGGACAAAAAACCCTGAACTGCAGAAGGGCTGGGGCTCCTCCCTTGCATATCTGAGTTAGACACAAGAGTAGAACTGGAAAATCCAAGGAAAAAATTTTGCGACTGAGCTTGTTTCCTTTTTGCTTGTGCAACTGCAATAAGATGCCTCATAGACTGAGATGATTCCGGAGTTCTAGAACCCATGGATATGCCTATTTTTTCTTCTCTGCCAACTTCCATTCTGTTATTAGGAAAACAGAAACAAATCATCAAACATTAGAAAACGCAAATAGCAACTATGCAAACAATTAAGAAGGAAGAGCATGGATACCTTTCACCAGATAATGAAATGTACTCGGTTTCATTTTCTGTTAAAATAGCGGAGTCAATGATCTGAGGGAATGATTGTGTAGTAGGTTTAGACTTTTCTCCAGAAGGTGCAGACTTGTTTCTTGCCTGATTATGAGAAGAAACCGAACTGTTAGACAATAAACCTGAACCCTTGCTAGAAACAGCCTGAGCCTTCTTTTGAGTACCAGTACTAGAGACTTTAACCAGAGATTTTGTGGGTTTCTGCTGTTCCACAACTGGTTTAGTGGTTGAAACCAAATGGGGAGACTTCTTAGGAGAAATCAAGGTTGGTTTTTCCTCCTTGGACAGCAAATGCCCAGGTTCTGATTTTTTTGGACTGTGATACACATGCACCACCTTTTCAAGACTCTTTTTCTCAATTTGAGGTTTCTTTTCCAGCTTCTCCTCATCCGCTTGAGGTTTTCTAGGTGATGGAAAACCATCATATAACTGGGAAGATGATTCCTTTGTGAAGCTCATCGGAAATTCAGTAGGACATTGGGTACTCTGTTGAGCAGTATCTGACCTCTCATGATTTTCATTATTGCTCTTTACAGCGTCTGAAGAGTGTGAAGACGCCTTAATATTTCGGGAAGATCCTCCATGAACTGGTGTTTTGGGTTTTTCCTCCTCCTCCTCCTCATCATAGAGGCACACAGCTCTCCGCTTCCTCTGTGTAGGAACTCTGACGTCAGTAGAGCATGACATATCATTCTTCAGAGTGGGATCCTCTTCCTTCTTATCGTCACTAACCAAAGTATCAGAATCAGGCATAGCCTCCAATGCTCGACGGTGCCTCTTTGTTAGGGGTAGCACAGCTTCATCACCAGGACCGTTGGGTCCACCAACAACATTTTTGGACATGGAAACTAGATGGTTCTCTCTTTTCACACGAGAAGTTGACAAATTTGAATCCATTATTTTTAATGTCTTGTCATCAACATCAGAACTAGGAGACAGGCTCTTCGTAGTTTTAGAGACCGAACCCCTTGAAGCACTATCCCCAGCATCTACATGTTTTGACTTTTTGGAACAATGTGAAGGATCATTTGTTCCCAAGTTAGGCTTTCCAAGCCCTGGTTGAACCCCTTTGTCCTTCCTGAATGTTTGTCTTTGGCATGCTCCTCATAATCATCTATCACATTATTTGGCAACTTGACTTGCTTGTTGGCTTTAAAAAGATCTTTTGTCTTTTTCCCAACCTTACCACCAGTATCTGATTTTAGAGCATCTGGGGAGAACTCCCTCTTCCTGCCACCAGAGCCAAGTGCGCCCTTTGTTCCATCTTTTAATCGATCACCAGATTGTGGGTGATCAACACGACCAATTGAGTTATCATCCTTCGACGATGTAACAGCAGAATGATTTTTTTGTTCCTCAACCGTGCCACCATGCTTCCTCTTTGATCCAGTAACCATCTTCGTCATCTTGTGGCCATTTGCTACAGACCTCTGTCCATCACTGCGTTTCTTTGTGCGATCATCTTGTTCACGCTTACTACCAGAAACTTCTTCCTTGGGATGAGAAGAATTCTCTGGCTTAGATTTCTTTAATGCCTCTTTTTTAGGCGGTGGAACTGCAGCCGTTTTATTTTTTCTCTCAGGAGAAAATACTGGAGAACTCTCCTTTGCTCCACATGAGGTAGATGGGTTTCCATCGTCATTGTCATTTTCACCTCGTGCCTGTGAACAGCGTTCCAGCTTAGGGCCAATATCACCTATGCCTTCTTCCTTGTCTGTTTGTCCATTGGAATCCTGTAGACCCTCCCCATCCTTTAAGTCAACATCAATCCCATTATCTTCTATGCCATCACCAGATGGAGCCTCACATCCGGTGTCTGATCTATCAGTATCATCCCTCAAATCATTTGACCTCTTTTTGTGTAACTCGTCAAATGCCTGACATATGTCCTTCACAGCTTGGGAAAAATACTTTGTTTTAGCATGACAACGACCTAATAATTTGCTTTTTGCCTCACTAGTGAATGCCTGAATATCTGCAGGGGCAACAAAAGCTCTGTGGAGTGGGGAAAACAACAAGAATAACATATCAGTAGCAGTCAGTTTAACCAGCAGAGCAAAAAACAAACAAACAGATGAAGTAGAAACTGAGCAGATCAAAAAACCACTAAAGGAAGAATTGTGGACTCTAGATTTGGTCTAAACGGTTCCACTGGTTCTTTTTTGTTTCTATACGCAATTCAATGTAGTTTTAGATTAAGAATCAAGTTCTATACTTACCAGATTTGTGAGCCAATTAATATTTACTTTCAATTCAATGAGAACAAGGGTATAAGATTATAAAGGAGACCACATGTGACACTTGCCATAACATTTTATTGATAGAAAGAAAAAAGGGAAAAAAACTGACTAATTCTTTTTACTTGTGCAAATGTAGATTTCACTAGTGAAAATGTTATCAAGTAGGAAATAATTTCCCTCAGATGTCATCCTGAAATTTTCATTAGGTAATGCATCAGTAGATTTTACTAGCCCTTTTTCTGCCCCAGTAGAAACTATTAATTCAAAATCCAACATTACAACTTTTGAAATCCTAACCAATTAAATTTTCCTCTACCAAAACAAACTGAAATGCAGGCAGAAATTTCAATCTTGTTCTTGTAAGCTTCTAGGAATAACATCAAAACCACAAGTACCACCAAATGTAGAACAAGAATTCACAAGAAGTCACAAGACAGTCCTAAGCAATAATAGATTTAACAATCAATAACTGAACTTTTCAGTGTGTTCTAGTTTTCCTTTGAAACACAAAAAGAGGAGAGGAAATATAACAAACTGCACATGCCAAGGTCAATACATTTAATGTTTCCATATGGCATCTTGAAGTACATTTTGCCTTAGATAGGGATGAATCAGCAAATGCAATTGGTAGACTAAGTTGTCCTTTTCACCTTGCGGTATGTACACTGTAGGCTGTTTATATATTAGTGTTTTTTTAAATCATAAAAGCCCGGGTAATAACAGGTGGTTAAACGTACATGTGACAGCAGACTGTATTCACTTGCATAAACTAATACAAAACTAACAAATGAGATATACTTACATCTCTTCCGTTCCAAAAAAAATTGTCAATTTCACCTTTCTGTGATCTACACCCTAGGTTGTCAATATATTAGTGTCTTATTTCTTGTTATGAAAACTCCATGCACAAGAGGTATTTCAATGTAAAAGTAACACATTTCACAAACAAACTTTATCCAATATACATGAACAAATCTGAAATTATCAAATGGTACAAACTTACATCTCTTCCGTTCCAAAAAATTGGACAAAATATTTCTTTGGATCAGGGACCTTCTTCCAATCTTCAGGCCTGCTAATCTGAAAATTCAAACCCACAAGAGTTACCTCAAATACCAACCGATTGTCGCATAGACTAAAATCTGACTGAGTTACTCTTATCAACATTAAACATAGTCCATCAATTTCGTGCTCATACTTATACTGCAAAAAGCATGATACTGTATTTTAAAAACCAACACATTCATCATATGAATATAACATTTTATTCGCCAAGAAAAAAAAAAGCAAAAACAATATACGTTCAATCCAATTCCTTTTAATATTGCAAAGTTAAAGGCAAGATATACATGATTTCTGAGAAGCCTCACAATGTTCAGTCCCATTCAGTAACTACACGAGTCCGAAAGCTTAGGAAAATTTGTTAATAATTACATACTACGAGAAGTCAAATCCAAGTAGAGCACACTAATCAACAAGCAAATCAAAAGCATATATATATAAACCCTAAAGCCCAAAACACAACCACAAACATAAACAGAAATGAAAAACCGAACAAATGCACAGCCGAAGACGAAGAAGCAGAATCCGTAAACGAAACAAAGGGAAGGGAATGAAAAAGCAGACCTTGGCGGGCCAATAGGGGAAGCCCTTGACCTTAGCAAGGACAAGATCGCCGAGACTCAACTTGTTCTTATCCTTGGCCTTGCTCGCTCCGCGTCTACGCCCCGGAGCCATGGCGTGGACGCCGCAATCTTAGAAAGCAAAAGGAAAAACCCTAATTGAATCGTCGCAATCGAATCGCACAAGCAGCTATGAAAACCCTATAAAAGTCCCAGAGCTCGGAATTGGATTGGTCGCCAGTTGTTGACGGCCAGCGGATGCTCCGACGCCGGAGGAACTAGGTCATCGGACGGCTGGGCTCTGCATTCACAATTCCAGCGAGCCAAGGAGTGAAGGAGAGAGAGTGTTGGTGTGTGAGAGACACAGAGATTGTAGAGAGAAATTGAGGCGGTCGAAGGGTGAGAGATTGTAAATTTTGCGAGAGGGAGGAGGGCTTGGGCTTTCAGCTTTTTTGCGGGGTTGAGCGCACCAATGGGAATTTTGCCGAATCGGAACGGGACGTATCGGTATTTTTCCGATTTTTCTTTTATTCTTGGGTTCACTTTCTTTTACATATTAGTATTCGGGACAAAAACACACCAAACCTTTTTTATTCCTTAAAAATTTTAAATTTAGGAAGATGAGATTGGTCAGGACTCGCTCCGAGGGATGGTTTTATGTGCTGTCTGTGTACGTGGCAAAGACTCCTTATTGATTTCCATTTCTTTTTTTAATTCCCTCTTCCCGTCTTTTTCTTTCTATTTAATCAAGAAATCTAAAATGTAAATACCGTTTCACTTTTATTCAATGGAAATAGGAAATAGGAGCCAAAGATGAAGAAAGACTCAACAATGAGAAAGTATGCAACTTCAAATTGGTTAAGAGCGTTTACCCTGCACTCTCTGACATTCTTTTTCTCGTCACTCCAAAATTGAAGATTAATAGTGATGCTGCTCTTGATGAAAATACTGAATTCCAAATGAATGCCAAGGCGAGAAACAAATCATTTTAACTTCCGGGACGGACCGAAACATGAGAAATATAATTCTGAGAAAGTTAAAAAGCAAGCTAAAAAGGGGAGATGGTTTCTGACTGAGACCTAGATGTCTGCTCCTACTTTGAACTTTTATCCTTTTCTTTGCCATCATTGGCAACAGCATCAGTCACCAGAGCCATCGGTCTTTCATCAATCACCTCATCAATGATTCCGAATGCCTTTGCCTCTTCTGGGGTCATAAAATGATCCCTGTCCATATTCTTCTCAATTATATCTACTGGTTGCCCCGTATGCTTTGAGTACAACGCATTAAGGGAATCCCAGACACGAACAATCTGCTTCGTGTGAATTGTCATATCTTTGGCCTGTCCGCTGTACCCGCCTGAAGGCTGATGAATCATAACTGTAGCATTTGGGAGAGACCGCCTCTCACCCTTGGCGCCCGCAGCTAAGAGAAGAGAAGCCATTGATGCCGCTTGGCCCAAACAAATGGTACTGATTGGTGACCGAATGTACTGCATCGTATCATAAATTGCAAGACCTGTATGCACTAATACAATCATCACCATGTAACAATGCTGGTGAATTTTAACCAAATCATGCATTGAGTCTCGTCTATTCCTCTATTCATTGATATTGTTTTCTGCCAAGTCTCGTTTCTTTATTTATAGTACAAAACATAGCTATACTGTTTAAAAATCACATCAGAAGTATCAGCAAATTAAGGAATTAAAACATACCATAAGGGGGGAAACACAAGCATTGTACTAACGTTTCTCCCAAATAAAATAACATTGTAGTAAGGGTTGTAGTATCAACTTTTTGAATTGACATATCTAATAGAAACTGTTTACAGTAAGACCAAATGTTCAATAAAGATTTATGTTGTTTTACCCCAACTAGCTGGTACAAGGCTTACACTTAGTTGACTTCTTGACCCCAATTAGAAAACATAAAGAATGAGGTTTGATGAAAGCAAGTGATCACAACAAATTAAATGTTAATCGTAATTTCATGCAGTACGATTTGGAACATCATAATCAAGTTTGGCCATAGCCACGTTGGCTTTCCACTTCCATTTCTATCTACCAGATCAGTATTACCAATATGCTGTGCGTAAGTCTCAGCTCCAAAGCCAGGAGTATATAGACAGAGTAGACTCATAAATGGAAAAAGAGTTCTGTTGTAGTTATGCACTTAGTCTTCAGTTTTGCCAACAGTCTAATGAAGCAGAAAATTGCGCACTTTCAAGCAAGTGAAGTATTGAGATGGTTCAACAAAGTCAAAAAGTGCGTGGCACAACTCTATTCATGGTTGTGATACCTAGTTTTTCTTCATAATATTATTGTAATTTATGCAGACACAAGATGTTTGGCTGCCACACAACTCTACAGCTACCTTCCAAAACACAGACAGTATTTTCCTTAAACATCCAGTACTGATATTCCCACACACCACCAGGAAATCATCTATAAAGCATGATCACCCTCTGCCTCTATTTTTCTTACTTCCTTGGATTAGCTTATTAATGCTCTACAATCTATTCAAGTCCGTGGACCACTAATTTCCATACTCCAAAACTTACTGCATAACTTATGGCTAGCAGTTGTTTTCCGTTTGTTTAAACCGATACTTAACAATTAACAACATTTAGGATTCAACTATAGTTAACATAAACCAAGATAGAGTTCAAACTGTAAGCAATATTATGGTGAAAAGGACCCATGTCAAAGAGTACAACTACTAAGTAAGTGCCTCAGCATTGGTGGTATATTGTATACATGATCATACAATGGTAATTAAAAGTTCTGTTTTACTTGAATGGAGATCCATCACCACTATTAATTCCGGTTCCAAAATGCTACCAATATCATGATTTCATGGTTACGCATGTCAATGACTTCTCTAACAGTTCTACTTCGTGACGGGTTTGTAGAATCAAATTCCACTCGACAACTTAAGATTTAGTAGATTTTTAAGTCATAAGAAAATCCCATACTTCTCACTGATAATGCGCTTATGACGCAGGTTACACAAACCAAACTATCCACAAAATCCTCTGAACCAACAAATCCACATATCCATTAGTTTTCTTAAGGCCTCATTTGATGAGAGAATCGGGTTGGGTGGGACTATTCACCATATTGAAGGCATTTTCAATGAAGAAATGGATGACAAATCCCTAATTTTGTCCAACTTGAACATTACCCACTGTTGACCCTAGAAACTACAAAGCCTACGTGGCGCGCAGGCCGAGTATTTTCTAAGCTAACTACGTCCTTCGGTGATTGCGGGGCGTGCCAACTCGTCGGCCGAGCTCGGCCGAGGAGTAAATTTGATGATGTTGCGTTGGGTCGCGCTACTGACTTCTGCGTCTTGCGATTGCGGCCGAGAAAGGAACACGTCTCGGCCTCTTAGGTTCTCGAGCCTGAAGACAAGGCTGCTATTCTTACGAAGTTCACGAACCGAATTCGGCTTTCGACGTGCCGAATATAATAACTGTAACACCTCACTTCGCCGAGAAGGCTAATGAGATGACCCCGACCAATAAGGATTCAGAAACCCTTCTCGACCGAGACTTGGATAGGTAATCAATCGTTCTTGCCGCAGTGCTGTTGATGCCAACGGAAGATACTGCAAGACTGACTGACTCTACGGTGACAGAGCTATCTATGCCGACTTAAGATATCACTGGTTGCTTCCACAGTGCTGTTGATGCCAACGGAAGATGTGTCAGCGAAAAAAGGAAAAAGAAAAAATCTCAAGTTGTGAGAGTCTGCGCAGGGCAATTTTGTATTGATTTTGTAGGGGCTTCTCCTGATGCACAGCGTCCCCTATTTATAGTACTGAACCTTGAGTCCGAGTTTACATCCTACTCGGACTAGGTTTCCCTCTCCGGATCACCTCAACCAGTCCTACACCTACTAGGACTATGAACCTAGTCCTTAGCTAAGCTGGATTAGTTTCCTGGATATTCGATCCCGTCGAGACTCCCCATTGCACTAGGATTCGTCCTAACCGCCCTAGGTTTGGACTCCCACGGGTTGACTGATCCATGGTCCTTTTGCCGCTCGGCCTCCTGGGCCGAGAGTGATCCTACCCTCGGCCCAAACTATTATTTTGGGCCCAAACATTGCCCCCTCGCTTCTGAGGTCTCCGGCCTGAAACCTTTGGCCGAGTTTCGGCCTTGAAGAAGCGAATCTACCCCTCAGGATCCTAATACCCGAGTTCCAAGGCGCATTTATTGAGCATGATCGCACGATCTTGAACCTGCTAACCCACTCGCCACGTGGCGTCCTCCAACATGGCCATTCCTCCATAATGACGTCTAAGGCGTGCGACAGCCTGAACCGTCTTGCCATCATGACCACTATCTCAATCCGCGAGCCACTACCTCAGTCCGTGAACCCACTTGTCATCGTGCGGGCGTCGAACCGTCTTTCGTCATTAATTTCGCCGTCACACGCAATCATACGCCCCCAAAACCCTAACCTTCGGTCTTCTCAACCGCATTTCCCAAATGTTCATCATGATCAACAATTCCTTCGGTTGACTTTGCCCTTTGTTTTGAATTTCGAACGATTGCTCTTCCCCCCATAACTCTATAAATACCGAAATTCCCTCATTTGTACTTTTACGCTCTCAAACTTCCTGGAATCCTCTGCCGTTGATTTCTAGTGCATTCTCTTATTCCAAGTCTTCGTCTTTAAATCCCCAACCCAGACAACCCTTCTACTCCGTGCTTCTTTCTCACAATGGCATCCTTCATCTCCAAGCTTTCCAGGGAATGTGACCAACATCAGAAGATTTTTGATCGGAGCTCGATCAAGACCATCCGGTTTGAAAACGACATGAGCACCCAGTACCAAATCCTGGGTCCTCTCTTCAAGGCTTCAATACCGCCGACTATCATCGACCTTCTACAGGAGCACTGCCTAACACCCTTGCTTCAAGGGTTTGAATGGTCGCGATGGGATGCGGCTAAACCCCAGGGCTCCTGGCCCTCGACGACCACATCCTGGGCAGCCTGGGTCGTTCGAATGGAACGACTCTTCGGCGAGCAATGGAAGGCCCTTGGCATCTACGACGCCATCCTCCTTTCGTCTATGGAAATCGTCCCTGACAAGGAGCTTCTCCAAGCCGCCCTGTGCTTCTGGTGCTCGGCCACCAACACAATGGTCCTTCCTCTGGGTCCCATTGGTCCTACCATCCTGGATCTCACTGCCATTCTGGGAACTTCGGCGACCGGGATCCCTGTCGACGCGACCCTCTCTGGGCATCCGTCGAATATCGACTTGAAAACGCTCTTCGACCGTCGGGCCTCCGAGACCTTGAACCGTGACGGTCATATCCCGTCGAAGGAAGATATTCAGAAGCTCCACAAGAACTTCTGTAATTACAACACCCTCTATCTCCACTTCGCCGGCCGAGGAGAAGAGGACCTGCGAGAGGGAGAGCATGAAGCCTTCCTCTTCTACTGGTACAACAAATACATTTGTTGTACCAAGTCAAACAAGTGTTTGGTAGAGAACATGCCGGTAGCCGAAGCC